GGGGGGGGGGGGGGGGGGGGGGGGGGGGGGGGGGGGGGGGGGGGTTCCATGCTTGGTTGGGAGGTCTTTGTATTCATAGCGCATGTCAAGAGGAATTTTTAAGATTGAAAATAGAAAATAGACAGAGATGTGAGAAGATAGAGCGAAGCTGCTGAGTAATGATCTCAGTACTCCGGGTTGAATTGCATTCTGTATCACCCGGAGCTGGGCTGTGGTAGGTCCCACTTGCACGAACCTTTTTTTTTTTTTTTTTTTTTTTTTAGCACGAACCTTAAGAGATAGAGACCGTAGATCGCCGAGAGATCAACGGCGGAAATCTCCTAATCCGTGCAAATGGGATCTTGCCCCCGAGTAGAAAGCCCGGTCTTTTTTTTTGTTTTTTAACTTTTCATGCCAAAAAGAAGACATCGCCGCTGTTATGGTCTGGTACCCTCTTCACCCGATGGAACGTGTGGCCATTATAGCTAATATTCGGGCCAACTTTCAGTCCAGATGCAGCGGCAATTACCGGGGGCGGTTCTATTCGGGTGAAGACGGGAGGAGGGCTCTGCTCTATTCGAAAATGAGACCGTAGGCGGCGATCCTCTTACAGTCAACCCCAGAGAGTCACGCCAGACTCACAGTATTTATTTATATTTATTTTATTTTTATTTTTATTTGACTCACAGGATATCAGAATATGCGCTCCCCTTTCTTTTTTTTTATCTCAGGTCCCGACTGTGTTACCGCAGGATTGACTTCACAATGCGGTTGTGATATCGGTACACCCCCTTTGGGAATCTTTTTTTTTTTTTTTTTTTTACCACGACGAATAAAGCTAACCTCTTCACCCGAATAGAACGCCTGGTCGTTATAACCGAATACTATATATAGGACTCTCCACACATTCCGTATTTTGCACCCGAATAGAACGTCCCCTTGGGCAATATAGCTACAATCGTAACCCGAATAGAGCGCCCTCACAGTAGACCTGCCATCTTCACCCAAAATTACCGCCCTGGGAAATATCTCAGGTCGTGTGATGGGCGACCATGTCGCACGGTGGTGATGGGCGACCATGTCGCACGGTTAGGATAGCATCTCGGAAAGCTCAGGAGAGCTTAGTACAGAGCGGCCTGAGGAATAGAGCCCCCGTATTCACCTGAATAAAACGCCCCCTGGGGAGAAGAGCTATTATCTTGACCTGAATAGAACGCCCTGGGAGTATAGCTGTCATCTTCACCCAAAAATAGCCCCCTGGGATACACCGCAGGTCGTGCGATGGGCGACCATCTCGCACGGGTCGTGGAACACCTGTTACGGCTGCTGAATAGGGATGAACGTTCAGTAGAGAGCGCCCTGAGGTATAGATCCACCGTCTTCACTCGAATAGAACGCCCCCGGGGAATCGTCCAGTCTCCCGTTTGGGGATGGTGGAGTAAATGAGTGATCTACCCCCCAGGATAGCTTACCTTCAAAAAAAAAAGGACTAAAGACGTTGAGCCTTCCTTGTCCACGTGATTTATTCCACTGTGGTCATCAGTTCGACTCTTGTCCACATTATAATTCGATTCTATTCTATTCTACGTAAAGTAATGAGAGACATCTAGATGTGTATAAGAGACAGGCACTACTGTGGTTGGGGTGTGTGGGTGGAGGGGAA